TCAGACCTATGAAATATGGTCTTTCCAACTTATATTAATATCATCTTAAGTTTATTGGAAAAATAGCTAGGAATCTCACCAAGAAGACAGATAACCTCATTTGCACCCAAGATTCTGATTCAGCTATTCTTCAGTGGGGCCTAGGGAAATAGCATCTTTCTCTTTGACGCCACAAACAGAGGTGCTCAGGGACTACCTCCAGATCAGTGCTTGGAGGGTGCTCCCAGTGATGCTCAGGGTCCCATGTGGTAACAAAGGTCAAATTGAGACATCCTGGTCTACATGTAAAGTATGTTCCTTGAGCTCTCTGTTCTCCTCTGATGTATTTCTTTAAAGATGAAGAGGAGGCCAGAAGAGGCCAGAGAGATAGCCTAAGGATTAGGGCATTTGTCTTGCACATGCTGAGCCTGGTTTGATTACAGATGGTCCCCTAAGCACCAGCAATAGTGATCTCTGAGCTCAGAGTCAGAACTAAAACCTTGAGCACAGCTGGGTGTGGACCATCTGTCTCCCAATCCCTCACCTTCCCCTCCCCCCCAAATAAAAATGCATCAGAGAGGATTCTGAGGCCACAAGTCCATGGATCAGGTTCTGAGAAAGATTTTTGTAGTGTGGTGGTCAAAAAAAGCTGAGGACAGAATACATAAGATTCTGTGACCATCCAGGTCGGCCATACTGACACCTGAACTCATGGGGGGAGTCCTAGGAAATCAAAGCACTGACTGTCCTTGCCAAGTTGGTGTTAATTAAAAAAGCTCCAGTCTAGGGGGTTTGAAGAACCAGCTGGCGGGTTCAGTCCTATCAAGTTATGATATAGCTTGATATGATAGTCTTTTAAGACTGTTCTTTCTCAGGACCTCAGTCACAAGAAATCCAGCAGAGCATTTTGAAGTTGCCAAAACTGTTAAACTTTTCTTAAATCCAGTTAGGCATCATTAAATCTTAGTGAGATTAGTGAAGTCACAAGATTTAGCCAGGCATAATGAGAATAGAATTTACACAATTTAATGAGATTTGATGAGGATTATTGAACCTTATCCAGCCCTTAGGGCAACAAGACAAAACTTTACAATTCAAATAGGATGGGAGCAAACTATTATTTTTCTCTTTACTTTTTTTTTTACATTGAAGAGAGTTACCTGAATTTACAAGACTTATGTTTGTGTTTTCCCTTTCTAGAGTACTCTTGTGGCTGCTAATCTGAAAAATTAGTATGTGCTAACTTTTTTAAAAAATTGAATCAGTGAGACACATTGTTACGAAGCTGTTCATGGTTGGGTTTCAGTCATACAATGTTCCAACACTCATCCTCCACCACCAATAACCCCAGTTTCCCCTCCTGCCACCCCCAACCCCCAGGCTAATTCTATGGCAGGGACTTTTCTTCTTTCTTTCTCTCTATCCTTTTGGGCATTATGGTTTGCAGTACAGGTATAGAGAGGTTATTATGTTTGTTGCTTTACTGACTTTCAGCCCACCGTATCTTTTTAATTATTTTTATTTTACAAGGTGGTTCACAATATTTGATTACAGTTAATATTTAAACACCAATCTGCCACCACCATTACCCCTTCCCACTACCAAATTTGGGATGTTTCCATCTCAAACTCCAATCCCTGTCCCAAGGCACAACAGAAATAATATATATTGTATTGTATGTTATGTAAAACCACTGAAAATGCTATGAAAATGTATCCATAGAGGTGACAGTGTGAAGATTGTTCTGTTTTGGCAGGGGCCATTAAGACATTCTTTAGGTATCTATCACTAACATGTTGTTAAAGGTTGAGGAGTGATGTGAGCTTTCATATATATACCTAAGACTATTGTGTGCAGACCGCCACTGACCTTCCTTTGTCCTTCGTCCCCCCTTGGGGAGCACCTGCAATCACTGGCCCTGGGGAGGAGCATAGAGGAGTCCCTTAGGTCCCCCCTTTCTGGAGGCATGATGTTCACTCAGCGATCATGGGTATGGGACGGACCCTCTGTCTTTATGTAGCGCTGGCCTGAATGTCTGCGCTGATGACTGGGCCGCAGTGAGTACTTCACATGACTTCTGGGGCTGGGGCAAGAGCACAGGGGTCAAGCTGTCAGCACACCTGTCAGCCCGAAGTCTTTATCCAGAGTGATCATTTCCAATTAAGTGATCATTTCCAACTATGACTGTCATAGTCTCTATCCCAACTGTGTTGTCCCCTAGCACTTGAGACAAGCTTCCAAACGTAGACCAATGCTCCTGGCCTTTGTTTCTACTGTCCTTGGATATTAGTCTCAAACTATGTTTTTTATATCCCACAAGTAAGTAGTAAGTGCTAACTGTTAATGGATTACCCCTTCCCTCTTAGGCAGCATACATATTTCAATAAGATCTTCAGGACAAGTTGCTTTCACCTAGAGTAGAGTGTGAGAACGTGGGGATTCTAGAAATCTATGCATCAACCTAGCATTGAGCAATGGCACTAAACTTCCAGGGCTCTTAAGTGAATTGGTGAGGGGATTAATGGACGGACGGACAGATGGATGGATGGATGGATAAGTGGGTGGGTGGATGGATGAATGGACAAATGGATGGATGGATACATGGTGGATGGGTGAATGGAATGATAGATGGATGAGTAGATGGATGAAGTGTGTCATGCATAGGACCATACCCTGGCAATGCTGGGTACAGAGGTGGGTGGGGAATGAAGGTGACTGATGGTGACTCATACTTGAATAAGTGCACTACATTTGGCCCCAAATTAGCCAGGGACAGTGGATAATGCACTTCCTTAACTGGAGAGTGTTATCAGTGACTCACTTGGCATTTTGTGGATTAGATCTTTCAGAGCATTTCTGTCACTGGCTACATCCAAAAATCTGAAGGACTCGGTCTTTATGCATTTGATTATGTAATATCTACACTTTTATTTTTTAAAAATTGGTCACACAAATACAAGATTATCTCACTGACCCTTGTGGCCTATAGGAAAACTGGACGAGGAAATGTAATGTAAAGGAGGGATGCCGAGATTGTCCTTGATCCCAGAGTATAGGGAGGAGAGGACAGAGAAAGAAAGAAATTAAGGGGGAAGAAGAAAATAAGTAATGAGGAAACAGAAGTGAGAGAACAGAAGTCAGGGGCTTCAGGTATACCAGTGATGCGGGAGAATGGTATAGCACAGACTCAATAACACTGAAAACATGAAATCTAAACTAAGAACCACCGAATTTTGAAATGTGCCTGTGAAGGTGGCAGTTGGGGAAAGGGGTGAGGGCGTGAGGGAACACGGGAGCACTGGAGTAAGTTAGTTGACACTGATGGTAAGGTTGGTTTTGGAATATCGTATGACTAAGACTCATTGATTAACAACTTTGTAAATCATGGGTCTTTAAATATAAATAAAATTTAAAACTAGTCACAATAGGTTGGAACTAAGTATTGCTTAGTTTTTGTCAGTACTTTCAATTCTTGATCTCAGAGCCAGTTTTCAAATACTAAAGGTGTGAACATTCTTCACATTTCTAGCTTTTATACTAACAAGAAAGATAACACTCTGAAACACACATGGGGCTTATTTTGTGCTGGGCACTTTTGTGTGCGCATTACAAATACAGCCTACTTTAATTTTCAAATAATCTCTGAAATTGGAGCTATTATTTCTCCATTTCCAGATAAGGAAACTGAGGCATAGAGAAGTTAGTGGCTTTCTCAAGGTCCTTGAGATGCTAAGTGGTGGGACTGAAATTCAAAATTATGTAGTATGTACCCAGAATCACCATTTTGTTTGTTTTGGAGTTACATCTGGTGACTCTCAGGGCTTACTTCTGGCTCTGTGCTCAGGAATCACTTCTGGCAGTGCTCAGAGGACCATGTGGGAATCTGGGGAACAAACCATGGTCAGTCGCATGCATGGCAAGCACCCTGTCCACTGTATTATTTCTCCAGCCCCCAACTCACCATTTTTATTCTGTGACATCAGGAACGATCAGTTTGGAGATTTACTGTAAACTATTCATTCTATTTCAGTTTTGGAAGGACAACCAGGACACCATTATTTGACTTTTATTAAAATAAAAGGAAACTGAGTAACAGTGAGAACAGTCTAGCTTCATTTTTTTCTTAGCAATATGGCATGTGTGCGAAAGTGAAGGAACAAAGGCGAAAAGCGTGTGTGAGGCAAAGAGACACAGAGATGGGGAGAGATCTCTGAATGCGAACAGGACAGAAGAAATCACATAATTGAGGCAGTTATTTTGGTGGGCTGGAGCGATAGCACAGCGGTAGGGCGTTCGCCTTACACGCGGCCAACATAGCCAACCCGAGTTCGATTCCTCCGCCCCTCTCGGAGAGCCCAGCAAGCTACCGAGAGTATTCGATATGCCAGACACAGTAACAACAAAGTCTCCAATGGGGACGTTACTGGGCCCGCTCGAGCAAATCGACGATCAACGGGAGGGCCTTTACCTTTACCTTTACCTTATTTTGGTGGAGAAGAAATGGGTTAGCTATTATTTGTACTCATGTGTGTGTGAGACAGAGACAGACAGACAGAGACAGACAGAGAGGCAGAGATCTGGTGGCCATCAGGGCTTACTCCTATGTATGTGCTCAGGGATTACTCCTGGTGAAGTTTGAAGATCCTCACTAGACCTCAAATAGATTCAAAGGCTGATCTCAAACTGACATCCTACAGATCCTTCAGGGTGAAATGTTTCTATGGTTGATGAGGTACCCAGTTTATGGAATTTTGTTCTAGCAGTCAGAACTGACATGGCAACTGTTGTCTTTTAATTTGTGATTTTGTTGCTGTTTTTTAAAATTTCTTTTAAAAGCAAGCATAACTTCCCTAAAGGAAGCTTCCCAAAGTTAAGATTATTTTCATGTGGAAGATTGCAATAGGGCATTTTATTTCCATATGCAGTGGCCAAGAAGGAAACAGGAAACTCCTGAGAAAAGCAAATTTGGTCTGTAATGTCATAATGTCTAGTTGCTGCAAATCTTAAAATCACGAAATTACTCAGAGCCTGTAATTTAAACTTTATTTCATAGCTATCATTAAATTACACAAAAATCAGTGAATGGTTTGTAAAGCTACACCATTGGACAGATGTTTACAGTTGAAATCATGGGATTTACATGTTGATGACAAAATGCATATTTATAACATCCCCTATATACAGTAATCAGTATTGACAGAGAAAATGCACTTAATGTCTGCAAACCATGCACACCACAGCAATAATACAAAATGCTTTTCTGGAATAAACTTTTCCACTGGTTCAGGTTTTGTCCTGCTTTCCAACAGTACATATCAGTTTTAAGAGCAAACATTATCAATTAAAACTAAACAAAACTGAAATACCACAGTGAACTAGAGAATATTTATTTTAAAAACACAATGTACACAAAATAGTCTCACTCTAAAATACTTTGATTTCAAGGTGTGTTTGATTTTATTTTTATTTCCCTCTTGTTCTCTTCTAATTCCCAGGACTGCAATACTATTAGACAAAACAAAACTTTGATAAACTGATACAAGCACAGAGTCAATAAAAAGGATTTCTAAATAACCCAATACTCAGATTCACGCCCAGTTTGTGGTCATATTATTACAGATGTAGCTAGATCATGCAAATGAGTGAACTGGGTGAGCTGTGACTTTATCATCACACTTCTAATTAGGAATGTCACCCCTGAATACATAAATGCTATTTCAAGTGGAGTTTTTTGAATGATAGCCAGAGGATTTGTATAACCCTTACAAATGTATAGCAAAACCCACAAAGTGGAAACCATTCAGAATCATGACGTACAGTGGGTTACATACTTCCTTTTTACTCTGCTTATTTCATAACTGATATCCTAGGCCCTAAATCACTTTTCTAAATGCATAGGCTCCAGATGTTCCATCTCACTGCACAGTACTCCCTTCTGTTCTTTCTTAATACAAACCTGGTCAAGAGTTAACCCAAAGTATTGAGGTACAGTTTTTGGTGTTCCTGAATAACTATGGCTATCCTAATTCTTTTTCTACCATTTCCCCTTGCAATTGTTTACAATCTGTCAACACAAAAAAGAACAAATAGGCTAGATATAGCCCGCCTAACTAGAATCATTACGATAAAAATATACAAAAAGTAAATAATAGTTCACATTCAGGTTCAATTCTACCTGACCAAGAATAACTTCAGCAATATTTTTAGACACATTATTTGTTCAACAGCTTCTTGATAATGACCTCACTACACAAACATTGATAAGACAATTCTATAGAAAGTCCTGACTTTAATCCAGGATTATATATCACAATAATTTCAATAACACACCATTTAGATGATGAAGAAAGATTCTACAAATGGGTTAGTTTGGAATGAGCACAACTCGGAGAAGCCTTAAGATGAAGAAAAGCAGCGCCAAAAAGATTTCAGAACTGTTGAAATTACAGTGCCCAGAAAGCGCCTGGTAATTGGATCTTCACATTGGTTTTCTACTTGGAAAAAAAAGCATTTTGTTTAACATGAGATAAACCCTGTTTAAAACCTTTAAATGGTAGAGGGTAGAAATAAGTTCAAAATCTTAAGCATCTCTTAAATAACAAGTTTTGTGTTCTGTTTTACTTGAAAAGCCAATATTTTTACATATACCTATTCATGTTGGGGAGAGAAATTTCTTATTTTCTACCGCTGGGGAAAATGTAACCACCAGCTGTTATTCCATTTAAATTGATTTCTGGTTTAAAATCAAAGAAAATAAAAGGCTTCATGTTGACTTTGAGCTTTTTCATATTTATGCTCATGCTTAGCCCGGGAAGAAATGTTTGCTTCCAAGACGGAGTTTTAACTGTGTCTCATGAATAATTTAAAGCCATTTCTTAGTGCTAAGTTAAATGGTCACATTTTATGATTTCATTTTGTCTCTGTGACTAATTTTAGAACTTCTTAAAATATCAAAACAGCAATTTCTGGTGAGTCTGGTTTGGCTTTTGGATTTTGTAAATAGTCCAACAAACCAAGAAAAAGAAGACAATTTAATTATATATTGAAATTTGTTGTATCCACGCACAGTATAACACTAAATTGAAAGGCAACTGTAAAGGCAACCTCTTAACGTTTTAACTTCATACTTCCAGAAAGTATGAAACACTTAGACACTCATCTTTTAAGCTTTGCCATATTCTTACTGGCGCTTTGGGAGAACTGTGTGAGAAGCCTTGGGAGCTTTTTAACGCCAGTTCTCTACACTGCCTATGTAGTCATGGGTACCGTTACTGCTGTCACTCTGCTCTTGACCTGGGTTTGGTTTCTGTCTTGCCTGGTTCTTCTGGTTCAAATTCTGACTCAAACTCTGAGTCAGATTCTGAATCAGATTCTGAAACAGATTCTGCGTCACATTCCGATTAGCATTTGGATTGGGGTTCTGACTCTTATTCTGACTCGGAGTCAGGCTCTGGCCCTGGCTCTGGCGCAGGAAGTGGGTCTGAAGGAACCTTCCCTTCAGAAATTTGCGTTGCTCCTGACGCTTCCGCCTAGCTTCCTGATGCTCCTTCTGCCTCATAAACTGATACCTTTGCAGAAAGAGATCCTTCGCATAGCTATACAGCTCCATATCCAGAAAATTTAGGCCCTCAATACGCTTTTGGATTTCCTCACTGATCTCTACGCTAGAGGCCCTAGTAGTGTTGTATTGGGTAAATGGTGAAATAAAGTTCATGTTGAAGGTTTTCTCAAACAGATACTGGGTCTTCCGCTGAAACTCAGTGAGGCCAAAGAATGCCATGTGCTTCAGATTCGACTTAGCACTTTCCAGGAGGACCTTGTTTCTTTGCTTTTCTGGCATGACAGAGAGGTTGTAGCAGCCTACTAAGGTCAGGTCAGAGAGCATGCGCACTTGGCGGTTGTTGGCAAGATTATAGGGACAGTCCATGAACTCTTTCAGGGGGCAGCCAGACCAGTCATCGCCACTGTAGCAGCTGGGCAGCTCTTCAGATGTTGGTGGTCTTCCATCGCAGACATGCAGGGATGCTTTCCATGTCGCTCCTCTCTGGACATGCCGCCACTCACTCAAGTACCGGGATACCGGATCTCGGAGGATAGTGATGTAGTGGAAATTCCTAAAGACAGAGGACAAAGATCAATTGTCAGGGATATTTGAGTAACATAAGTGGAGTCAGGGAGTTTCTTGGAATAAGTGATATTGATTGGCCATGAAGGAAGGTAATGGAAGGAAATGATGGCGATCTTGTGGCATCTGTTCCGTGAACTATGTTGCAGTCCTCAATTAGAGTCCTCCTAGCCTAATCAAACACCTTTTTTTCTTCACCCAATTTGCTGGCAATGTATTCAGGCAGGTATGAAAGGTTTAGACCCAGGATATCAGCTTAGTCATTCTTCACTCCCTCTTCCCCAATCCCCTCTGTTCCTCCTTTTCCAAACAAGGACAAAATCTTTCCAGTGACCTCAAATGACTGTGTACTAAGTAGATAACCATTTTATTTCCTACCCCCCACTGCATGTCCACGTGAAGTGATCATTAAGTGAAGATGTAGTGGAAACAAGCAAGTTTTTGGAAATGAGATGGAGTTAGGAAGTAAGCTCACATTTAATTTGTCCTTACTACATATACCAACAGCAGTCTTGCAATAACCAGTATAATCAGGATATCTTATTTAAGAACAAAACCTGGTTGAAAGAGTATCTGATAGGATGGTTTTGGTTCTGGCTGTTGTCATAACATCACAGCTCATATGTTATGAAATAGGAATGTGAAAATAGTAGGCAGAGCAGCTCAAAGCTTCCAGAAATAAACATTGTGGTGAGTCACCCACTAAAACACACGGTAGCTGCCAATGGCACAAATACACAAGCGACTACCTTGGTTTCAGCCTTCATTCACATGAAAATATTCTTAGTATAGGCAAGTTAACTCTATCAGTTCTTCTTATTCATTTATATGGAGATTTGGGGCCATACTCAGGCTTTTATTTGTACCTGTGTTCAGGAATCACTTCTGATGGGGCTCAGAGAACCATATAAAGTGCCAGGGATCAGCTATGCAAGGCAAGGCACCCTACCCCTTATAATATCTCCCTATGCCCAACTCTATCATTTCTTTTCAAAAATACTGAATCACAGTGAGATGCACAATTACAAAATTGTTTGTAATTGGGTTTCAGTCTTACAGTGCTCCAACAACCGTTCCTTCACCAGTGCCCATTCCATCAGTTAAGTTCCCCTTTATTTACCTATTTAAAGAACACAAAAATGTCAGCAAGTATGGAGGCTTTGCTGTATAGCTCATCTCTTTTGGATTAACAGATTAGCTAATGTGGATCATCCAGATACCCATACACATCAGGTACAAACACATACACTACCTCGCAGAAGCATCAGGGTTGATGGTGTGATCAGGTAGATTCAAGAGGTGAAATGACTCTGGGGCTATGCTTTTAATAAGAAACTAGGTTCTACTCAGGTTCTGGGGCTACTCAGGTTCTCAGGATGAGGTCATAGAAGGGCTTGCAGTGGAAGGAACCAAATAATAAGGAGTGATTATGAGTCTCTGTTTTCCCAAAGGAAAACTAGGTTATGGCATGTAGCTTTTCTGAAATGTATTCATTCCCATCTGAGGCAACTACATGCTCTGGACACATGCCAGAAGATTCAGGGAGAACCAAATTCACCAGCCAACAGGCTCAGTCTATTGACTGATATCGTCTAAGAAAACGTTTCTCCCAAGTCGTGGGTTTTGAGCAACTCAAGGACCCTGGGATCTATCTTCTATAGCTCTATTCTGTACTGGTATTTCCTCTATCTGCCATGACCATCTGAATTGAAGCAGACAATCATATTCATCCCTTAAGTCCAAGTTCCACCTCTGGCTACCAGTCATCACGTCATCTTCTGCCGCCATCCTAACATGGCCACAGGAAGTTTTTGTTGAAAGACTTTTAATACAGAATTTCAGTTACTTATTTGTATTCCTTTATATATTATTACTATAGATCAGGTAGCAGCAATAGTGTTAAAGTTTATGATATTTATATACAAAAATCCTGCAGCTCACCAGATCCAAAGTGCCCACAATCATCACCCATTGTTTCTATGTTATTTGTATTTCTACTGATACTCTGTTTTCCAGGATAGGGGTGTTGGGCTATTCCATTACTAATCCTGTCCATTCCAGTTTTGTACCTTGATCGCTGTATGTGGCACAAAGTTCAGTCTCAATAACCCTTTAATTTCTTATTCAATTCAGTATTCTAGTGAAGAGTAACGAAAAAGATGGGAATGAAAAAAACCATTACATCATTGTATAAGGACTCTGGGTGATCTTCCAAGTACCTTGCAAAAGCCACAGAAATGGTTTTTTTTTTCTTAAATTTTTATTAGTGAAACACCATGAAGTACAGTTGTAGACTTACAAATTTTTGTGCTTGGGTTTCAGTTATACAATGATCGAATACCCATCCCTCCACCAGTGCCCATTCTCCACCACCACCAGTCCCAGTATCCCTCCCTTCCCCTATCCCCCCATCCCAACCTACCTCTGTGGCAGGGCATTCCCTTTTGTTATCTTTCTCATTTTGAGTGCTGTGGTTTGCAAAAGAGACATTGAGTGGCACTCTTGTTCGGTCTATAGTTTACTCTCATCATGCATTTCCCATCCTGAGAGGAACCTCCCAAAACCCTTTATTTGGTGCTCCCTTCTCTATCTGAGCTGCCTTTCCCCCTAGCATGTGAGGCTGTCCTCAAAGCAATGGAGTACTCCTCCTGGTACTTATCTCGGCTATTCTAGGGTGTTAGTCTCATATTTTGTTACTTTATGTTCCCCAGATGAATGCAATGGTTTTCTTAATCCCTATATACCCTATTCTGGAGTACACAAGCATGGGTACAGGAGAAGCAGATAGGAGTGAATACGAAAAGGACACCAAGACCACCTTCATCTCTTTCATTGCTTTACCTAGCAGCAGATTTGGGTCCTATTCATGACCTTCATCAACAAAGGTGACTAGTGCCATGGGTCCCCTTCTTCCCCTTTGGCTTTGGTATTCCTTCTTTTGTTCATTTAGTACATATTTACTGAGGCTTTAAATGTTAGGCCTGAGGCAACATCTTAGGGACAGAAAAAAATTCATGAAGTCTGGTGACACATTTGGATTAATCTTTCAACCAGATTTTCTAGGTATGCATTATAATGGGGGTTTCTGGATGTTTAAAACCCCCATAACGGGGTCACCTTCATGCTTAGCTGCCAGTCCTCCAGCACTAGTGTATTTTACTGCTTCAAGCCTACAGTGACCTCTTCTGGTAAATCCTAGAGTGCATCACCACCACGCACGTCTTTACCAAAATTCTTGAGTTGAGTGATTCCAAAACTCCAGTGTCAGTGATAGGGTCAATGTTTTGTTGCCCACATGGAAAGAGAGGAAGCAATGCAGAGAGGCAGAAAGCCATTCAGAAAGCTCTCAGGTTATGGATGAATGACATTTTTGGGGTGGTTCCGAGATTCAAATTTAAATTCATGTAATGCATACACTCTACCATGGAGATACATCCCCATCTCCAAGGATGTGTGACTTTTTTTTTTTGAGGGAAAGAGGTATGCACAACTGGCAATGCTCAGGGTTCTGTACTCAGGAATAACTTCTGGCAGTGCTTAGAGGACCATATGGGATGCCAGGGATTGAACCCGAGTTGGCTATACAGAAGGCTATTTACTGTACATAGATCTACATGCTATACTAATTTCCTTACATGTTATACTATAGTTTGCTGCAGATTGACTTTAGGTTGACCTTGTGACCACTCACTACTTTCAGACTAGCCAAGAGTGTCTCGTCCGCATGGTAAAGCCTGGCAAGCTACCCGTGACGTATTTGACATGCCAAACACAGTAACAACAAGTCTCACAATAGAGACATTACTGGGCCCGCTCGAGCAAATCGATGAACAATGGGAGGACAGTGCTACAGTGCTACAGTGCTATACTATATTTCCAGCCCCAGGACATGTGACTTTTAACTGAAGGTCACCAAGAAACAACTGAAGGTGTGTTGGTGATTGTATGAGATGATAGTATTCCAATGTTGGTAACTTCAATCTACACACACACACAAACACACACACACACACACACACTGCCTTGGTGATAATAGTTACCATAGATTCAGAGAACAATACCTCTGGAATTCAGTGATTCCCAAGAGTACTCTTCTCCTAGGGAGAAATAAACCCAGGGGACCTCAACTGAAGATGCCTGATGCTTCTTGGGAAAAAAAATGAACCAAGAGATACAAAGAAAGATCTGCTAACCTGAGTGCCCAAGAACAGATGACTGGTTAAAGAAACTTTGGTACATCTACACAATGGAATACTATGCAGTTGTTAGAAAAGACAAAGTCATGAAATTTACATACAAGTGATTCTACATGGAAAGTATCATGCTAAGTGAAATGAGCCAGAAATAGAGGGACAGACATAAAAAGACTGTACTCATCTGGGGTACATAAAGTAACAGAATGGGAGACGAGCTCCCAAGAATAGTTGAGATAAGTACCAGGAGGTCTGCTCCACGGCTTGGAAGTCGGAAGCACATGCTTGGAGAAAAGGCAGCTCAAACAGAGAAGGGAACACCAAGTAAAGGATGTTTGGAGGATTCGCTCGGGATGCAAGATGCGTGCTGAAAGTAGACTACAGACTGAAAACGATGGCCACTCAATACCTCTATTACAAACCACAATGCCCTAAAGGAAAGAGAGAGCAAAAGGGAATGCCCTGCCACAAAGGTGGGGCGGGATGGGGAGGAATGGGTGGGAGGGTGGGAGGGTTACTGGGATCATTAGTGGTGGAGAATGGGTACTGGTGGGGGGATGGGTATTCGATCACTGTATAACTGAAACCCAAGCACGAAAGTTTGTAAGTCTACAACTGTACCTCATGGTGTTTCACTAAATAAAATAAATAAATAAAAAACAAAGGAAGAGCTCCTAAAGCATGTGTCTCCAGTAGTGTTCACTGAACTCCCAAATTACCTACTGTGTTATTTAGTCAAATAACAATTGCCTCCCAAATTGTTATTTGACTAAAGAGTTGTTGAAGTCTTCCCACA